GTTTTGGATAGAGTGAGGAAAAGTAAGAAACCCTGTTAGCAGGGGTTACTGCTACGTGGGGCACTATTAACTACTTCCCGACCGGCCGTTCTATATAAACGGCCGGACGGTGGCAGTGCAGGGTCGGGTGGCCGTTTATAAACGGCCTCCCCGCACCCTGCTTGTGCGTGCTCCCTGGGTGCGCGCAGCACCGCAATCCAGTGCCCGCTGTGTCCTCCGGACACAGCGAAACACCGATCGTCGGACGGGACCTCTGTACGAGGTCCCAATCATGTGATCACTGATTGGCCAATCAGTGATCACATGCAAAGTAGTAAGCAAGATGTCACTTTTGACATCATTGCTTACTACGTGTGAAATCTGTGAATGATCACAGAGGTCACATGGTACAAGGCTATTCACAACAGCCTTGTACCATGTGACAAGCTGTGACCAATCACAGCTCACTCAGTACTTCTCAAAGACTGCAAGAATGCAGCCAGAGAGAAGGAGAAATGATTGCTTTTACATCCTATATGGGTATAAAAGCAATCAGTGTAAAAAAAAAAAAAAACCTTCATCACCCCCCACAAGTAGTACAGTGTCACTATGGTGACACTGTACTGCTAGGGTGACAGTATGTGAAAAAAAAAATAATAATAATAATATTATAAAAAAAAAAAAAAAAATGTAAAAAAAAAAAAATTGAAAAATTATAATTTTTGGTTATAAACTAATTTGGATTTTTTTTTTTTTACTAAAAAAATAACGGAATAAATTTTGGTCAAGATTTATGATGAAATATTATTTATTAACAAAATTTTATAAAAAAAACACTTTTTTTCAAATTTTTGGACTTTTTCATTTACATAGCAAAAAAAATAAAAATCCCAGCAGTGAATAAATACCACCAAAATAAAGCTTTATCTGTCTCAAAAAAATGGTAAAAAATTCATATGGGTACAGTGTTGCTTGACCGCGCAATTGTCATTCAAAGTGTGATAGCGCTGAAAGCTGAAAATTGCCCTGGTCAGGAAGGGGGTAAAAGTGTCCGGTCTGGAAGTGGTCTAAGAGATGTTAATCACTTCCAGTTCTGGGGACAACTTTTTGCCAGACAGGAAGCGAAGGAAAATCTGGAAAAGAAAAACAGACAACAAAAAAAAGCTGAGATTAGTTCTAGCATTCTTCTAACTTAAAAAAAAAAAACATTTGTCTGTGTTGTTGTTGGAGAGTTTTCTTCACTTCCTGTCTGATGAAATGGTTGTCCCTAGGACATTGACTATGAGAAAATCTCTCTATCCAAGTTCGGAACAGCAGTACAACCTGACATGGGATTTAATCCTACTCCATCTAAAACGAAAAACAAAATTTTGGCTATACATACACTTTAAAGGCGCAAATGAATGATTCAGAGCAGCGACTTCCCTCCCTTTTTACCTGTTGCTCAGTTCATCAATGAGAGTCTGAAAGCAAACAGCTTCTGCTTAGAAAACCCATAATGATCTGGTTATCCTTCTTCATAGGTGTTCCCTGTATTAAAAGTTTATAAAACAAATATTTTAAAACAGTAATAAAATAGATTAAATAGTTTACTAGTATAATAAGACCCATTTTTTTTAAGTTTCGCAAAACATTGAAGGCATGCTATGACCAGGGGCGGACTGACCATTCAAGCACTCGGGCACTGCCCGTGGGTCCCAGGGTCAGTAGGGGGCCCTATGAAATTGCCCTGGTACCTTTTTTATAGGCTTTTTTGGTGTGTTTTTTGAGTGTGGGCAAGGACACAGGGGCCCCATGATCCCCTATTTCCCGGGGCCCCATGAGTTGTCAGTCCCCCTGGCTATGACTGATAACTATTACTGATAACTATTACTGCTCCCTGTTCTCTCTTATACAGTATGAACTGTCAAGCCTCTAATGGGTTGGTGTCATAGCTGATCACATGTGCTGCACCGTAGCAACTGCAGATCAAACAGAGGCTATGATGGCAGCTTCCTTGGCTGTAAAGGATAGGAGGGTTTAGTTCCACTTTAAAATATGCAATGAAAGTAGAAAAAAAATGTATTATAATTTTTTTTTTAGTTTGCATAATTTTTAAAGACCCTATAATATAGGTAATTTATATATGTACTGTACAGTGCCTTGAAAAAGTATTCATACCCTTTGAAATTCTCCTCATTTTGTCATGTTACAACCAAAAACGTAAATGTATTTAACTGGGATTTTATGTGATAGACCAACGCAAAGTGGCACTTATTTGTGAAGTGGAAGGACAATGAGAAATGGTTTTCAAAATTTTTTACAAATAAATATCTGAAAAGTGTGGCGTGCATTTGTATTCAGCCCCCTTTACTCTTATACCCCTAACTAAAATCTAGTGGAACCAATTGCCTTTAGAAGTCAACTAATTAGTAAATGGAGTCCACCTGTGTGTAATTTAATCTCAGTATAAATACAGCTGTTCTGTGAAGCTCTCAGAAGTTTGTTAGAGAACATTAGTGAACAAACAGCATCATGAAGGCCAAGGAACACACCAAACAGGTCAGTGATAAAGTTGTGGAGAAGTTTAAAGCAGGGTTAAGTTAAATAAAAAAAATCCTGAGCTTTAAACATCTCACGGAGCACTGTTCAATCCATCTGTCAGGGCTCCCGGGTATGACCAGAGGTGTGTGACTGACGCAGGGAAACGCAGACTTCAGATATGTTATAAACAATATAATTTATTAACGCTAACAATACAAACATAAACGCAGTGCAATACTAAAAACATAACACAGTGCAAACAAACCAAACCAACCACCCACAGATAACAGTACATACAATGCAAGCGTCGTCAGGCAGGCCGGGTCAATAACAATCGAGCAGGTAGGTACAGGGGGAGCAAGCGGAGAATGGTCGGGGTCACAAGCCAGGCCAGGTTCAGCAGGTAGCGGGCAGCGTGGTACAGAGGGTCAGGCAGAGGAGAATGGTCAGACAAGCCAGGGATCAGGAGCAGGAGAATGGTCAGACAAAGCCAGGGATCAGAGCAGGGTCAGCAACGAATCAGACAGGAACAGGGACAGGGAGCAGGAACAGGATACAGGGCCCAGGAGAAACACACACCAAGGCAGAGTCTGCAGGTCTGGCCATCCCTTAAATACACCAGTATAATCAGTTCCAGGTGTTTGACTGGCTGCAAGGTTGAGTCTCTGATTGCTGGGAGCACCCACTGGCCAGCCCTGGTACTGCAGCTCATAAGGCAGGTGAGTCCCACCATTGCTGGCCAGTCCATTCCTGACAGTACCCCCCCCTCAAGGAGCGGCCTCAGGACGCTCCAAACAGTCCTAGCTGGGCAAAATGTTCCACCTCCCGGGTCTGGTAACTGGCGGGATATCAAAGACTGGCACACCAGGCAGGACTCCGGGCAGGGGCACACCGGGCAGGGGCACACCGGGCAGAGGTACATCGGGCTGGACTCCGGGCAGAGGCACATCGGGCTGGACTCCGGGCAGAGGCACATCGGGCTGGACTCCGGGCAGAGGCACATCGGGCTGGACTCCGGGCAGAGGCACATCGGGCTGGACTCCGGGCAGAGGCACATCGGGCTGGACTCCGGGCAGAGGCACATCGGGCTGGACTCCGGGCAGAGGCACATCGGGCTGGACTCCGGGCAGCGGCACACCGGGCTGGACTCCAGGCAGCGGCACACCGGGCAGGGGCACACCGGGCAGAGGCACATCGGGCAGAGGCACACCGGGCAGAGGCACACCGGGCAGAGGCACACCGGGCAGAGGCACACCGGGCAGAGGCACATCGGGCTGCACTCCGGGCAGAGGCACATCGGGCTGCACACTCCGGGCAGAGGCACATCGGGCTGCACTCCGGGCAGAGGCACATCGGGCTGCACTCCGGGCAGAGGCACATCGGGCTGGACTCCGGGCAGAGGCACATCGGGCTGGACTCCGGGCAGAGGCACATCGGATTACCAGGCGAAGCAGCAGGCACCGGGCCACCAGGCGGAGCAGCGGGCACCGGGGCCACCAGGCGGAGCAGCGGGCACGGGCCACCAGGCGGAGCAGCAGGCACCGGGCCACCAGGCGGAGCAGCAGGCACCGGGCCATCAGGCGGGGCGACAGGCATCGGGGCCCCAGGCGGGGCGACAGGCATCGGGCCCCCAGGCGGAGCGGCGGGCGCCGGGCCCCCAGGAGGGGTGACAGGCATCGGGCCCCCAGGAGGGGCGACAGGCATCGGGCCCCCAGGAGGGGCGACAGGCATCGGGCCCCCAGGCGGAGCGGCGGGCGCCGGACCCCCAGGCGGAGCGACAGGTCTTGGGCCCCCAGGCGGAGCGGCGGGCGCCGGACCCCCAGGCGGAGCGACAGGTCTCAGGCCCCCAGGCGGAGCGACAGGTCTCAGGCCCCCAGGCGGAGCGACAGGTCTCAGGCCCCCAGGCGGAGCGGCGGGCGCTAGACCCCCAGGCGGAGCAGGGGGCGCCGGACCCCCAGGCGGAGCAGCGGGCGCCAGACCCCCCCAGGGGAGCGACAGGTCTCAGGCCCCCAAGCGGAGCGGCGGGCGCCGGAGCGACAGGTCTCAGGCCCCCAGGCGGAGCGACAGGTCTCAGGCCCCCAGGCGGAGCGACAGGTCTCAGGCCCCGAGGCGGAGCGACAGGTCTCAGGCCCCGAGGCGGAGCGACAGGTCTCGGGCCCCCAGGCGGAGCGACAGGTCTCGGGCCCCCAGGCGGAGCGGCGGGCACCGAGTCACCAGGCACGACAGTGGGCTCCGAGTCAACTGGCATGACCGCTGGCACTGGGTCAAACATTGGATCGTCTGGCTGGACAGCGGGCATCGGGGTCACCAGGCATCAGGTCATTTGGCTCGACAGCGGGCACCGCGTCATCTGGCAAGGCAGTGGGCTCCGAGTCAACTGGTATGACCGCGGGCACTGGGTCAGACATTGGATCGTCTGGTGGACAGCGGGCATCGGGTCACCAGGCATCAGGTCATTTGGCTCAACAGCGGGCACCGCGTCATCCGGCAAGACAACAGGGCACCAAGTCACCAGGCACGACAGTGGGCTCTGAGTCAATTGGCACGACAGCGGGCACCGGGTCATCAGGTACGGATTGTCTGGCTCGACAGCGGGCATGGGGTCATCAGGTATGACAGCAGGGACTGGGTCACCAGGCATCAGGTCATTTGGCTTGCCAGCGGGCACCGCGTCATTTGGCAAGGCAGTGGGCACCGGGTCACCAGGCATTGGATCGTCTGGCTCGACAGCGGGCATCGGGTCACCAGGTATGACAGCGGGCACTGGGTCACCAGGCATCAGGTCATTTGGCTCGCTAGCGGGCACCGCGTCATCTGGCAAGGCAGTGGACTCCGAGTCAACTGGTCTAATAGGATCATCAGGCTGGATCAGTTCATCATGCTGGGTAGAGGCATCAGGCTGAGTGGAGGCATCAGGCTGAGTAGAGGCATCAGGCTGAGTAGAGGCATCAGGCTGAAGAGAGGCATCAGGCTGGGTACGGGCATCAGGCTGGGTACGGGCATCAGGCTGGGTACGGGCATCAGGCTGAGTAGAGGCATCAGGCTGAAGAGAGGCATCAGGCTGAAGAGAGGCATCAGGCTGAAGAGAGGCATCAGGCTGAAGAGAGGCATCAGGCTGAAGAGAGGCATCAGGCTGAAGAGAGGCATCAGGCTGAAGAGAGGCATCAGGCTGGGTACAGGCATCAGGCTGGGTACAGGCCTCAGGCTGAAAGTGCGGGTGCCGAGGCACCAGGCTGAACCACGGAAGGCCGGTTCTCAGACGGCAGGCTCACCGGTTTGGATACTGGCAGGATGGTATTGGTTGGAAAGAATTTTCGCTTTTTTCTGGTTTTAACTACTGGAGCACTGCAAGTAAACGCAGGTCTGCAAATGAATGGAGCAGCTGGAGACAGAGAAGAGCTGGAGGATGGAACAGAGGAGGGAACAGTTGCTACAGAGGGCTTCTTTACAGGGTTAAAGGCAGGATAGGTGCAGCGAGTGGGAACAGGGTACTGACATGCGGTAGATAGCAGGGCAGGAGGAGCTGTTGGGAATGCAGGAATAGAGTTTTGAGGAAATAGATTAGAAGCAGGACTGGGTTTTTGTAGGCTGACTGAGGCTGGGTGCAACAAATCTGTCCATGTCTGCAGTATGGGTTGAACAAAGCTGAGATTACACAAAGCCTGTCTGACCAAAGACTGCACTGCGTTTATACAATCTCTTAGTGTCTGTGGTGAACATGCAGCATAACGCTCCAGAAAGTAATCCACATCATCCTCTAATAACCATACCAGGGACTCTACCTGGTCGGCACTAAATGGCGGCAAAAATTCATCCCTGCATTCGGGGGTACCAGATGAAACCAACTCAGCACAAACCTGAATCAATGGCTGCACCTCAGAGAATTCTGTGCCCTGATCTACTAGAACATGAGCGAGCCGTATACATTCTAGCAGTTGATCCCGGGGATACTCCTTCAGAGTTTGATAAGCATACTCCCTGTCATCAAACACTAGCAGATATAAATACTCAACCTCATCAAGATCCATCCTTCCCATCAACAAACCAAGATGGCTTCCCTGTGCAGCCACTTCTGGTCAGGATTGGCCTTGGTGTAATGTCAGGGCTCTCGGGTATGACCAGAGGTGTGTGACTGACGCAGGGAAACGCAGACTTCAGATATGTTATAAACAATATAATTTATTAACGCTAACAATACAAACATAAACGCAGTGCAATACTAAAACATAACACAGTGCAAACAAACCAAACCAACCACCCACAGATAACAGTACATACAATGCAAGCGTCGTCAGGCAGGCCGGGTCAATAACAATCGGGCAGGTAGGTACAGGGGGAGCAAGCGGAGAATGGTCGGGGTCACAAGCCAGGTTCAGCAGGTAGCGGGCAGCGTGGTACAGAGGGTCAGGCAGAGGAGAATGGTCAGACAAGCCAGGGATCAGGAGCAGGAGAATGGTCAGACAAAGCCAGGGATCAGAGCAGAGTCAGCAACGAATCAGACAGGAACAGGAACAGGGACAGGGAGCAGGAACAGGATACAGGGCCCAGGAGAAACACACACCAAGGCAGAGTCTGCAGGTCTGGCCATCCCTTAAATACACCAGTATAATTAGTTCCAGGTGTTTGACTGGCTGCAAGGTTGAGTCTCTGATTGCTGGGAGCACCCGCTGGCCAGCCCTGGTACTGCAGCTCATAAGGCAGGTGAGTCTCACCATTGCTGGCCAGTCCATTCCTGACACCATCATTTGAAAATGGAAAGAGTACTGCACAACTGCAAACCTACCAAGACATGGCAATCCACCTAAACTGACAGGCTGGGCAAGGAGAGTATTCATCAGAGAAGCACTCTGGTAACTCTGGAGGAGCTGCAGAGATCCACAGCTCAGGTGGGATGGAGAATCTGTCCACAGGACAACTATTAGTTGTGCACTCCACAAATCTTGCCTTTATGGAAGAGTGGCAAGAAGGAAGTCATTGTTGAAAGAAAGCCAAAAGAAGTCTCATTTGCAGTTTACGAGAAGCCATGTGGGGGACACAGCAAACATGTGGAAGAAGGGGCTCTGGTCAGATGAGACAGAAATTGAACTTTTTGGCCTAAAAGCAAGATGCTATGTGTAGCAGAAAACTAACACTGCACATCACCCTGAATACACCATCCCCACCGTGAAACATGGTGGTGGCAGCATCATGTTGTGGGGATGCTTTTCTTTAGTAGGGTCAGAGAAGCTGGTAAGAGTTGATGGGAAGATGGATGGAGCCAAATACAAGGCAATCTAAGAAGAAAACCTGTTATAGTCTGCAAAAGACTTGAAACTGGGGTGGAGGTTCACCTTCCAGCAGGACAACGACCCTAAACATCCAGCCAGAGATACAATGGAATGGTTTAGATCAAAGCATATTCATGTGTTAGAATGGCCCAGTCACAGTCCAGACCTAAATACAATTGAGAATCTGTGGCAAGACTTGAAAATTGACGCTCTCCATTCAATCTGAAAGAGTTTGAGCTATATTGCAAAGAAGAATGGCAAACATTTCACTCTCTAGATGTGCAAAGGTGGTAGAGACATCCCCAAAAAGACTTCCATCTGGAATTGCAGAGAAAGGTGGTTCTACAAAGTATTGACTCGAGGGGGGGGGGCAGAATACAAATGCACACCACACTTTTCACATATTTCTTTGTAAAAAAAAGTTTGAAAATCTTTTATCATTTTCCTTCCACTTCACAATTATGTGCCACTTTGTGTTGGTCTATCACATAAAATCCCAATAAAATACAGTTACGTTTTTGGTTGTAACATGACAAAATGTGATAAAATTCAAGGGGTATGAATACTTTTTCAAGGCATTGTAAATGTAGCACTACCCTCGTGAGGGCCACTGTAGGACATGGGCCCCAAAAATGATGGCCTGACCTTGCAAGCCACACAACACCTCTGACACCCTGGGTTCAGACATAATGCACACAGGAAACAGTTACAGACACTTGAATGCAGTAATGCAGTAATGCAGTTGAGTCTTTACCAGGGGCGGACTGACAACTCATGGGGCCCCCGGGCAATAGGGGATCATGGGGCCCCTTTGTCATGGCCCACACTCAAAACACACCCAAAAAAGCCTATAAAAAAGGTACCAGGGGCATTTCATGGGGCCCCCTACTGACCCTGGGCCCTCGGGCAGTGCCTGGTCTTTACTAAGAAGTATTCAATCACTAAACAGTAAATAACAGTTACTAGAATACTTCTTAGGCGCTATACACCTTGCTGGATATTCAAATCGTGACCACAGGTGAGCTTTGAAGAGATAAATACAATAAAGCAAACAGGGTTTCAAATATGGTCAATGGAAGAGGAAAACTTTATGGTGTCATTCTGCTCCCCCAGAATCCAGATTCCACAGTTTTGTGAAAACAGCACACTCCATATATTAAATGTATGAGCTATGCTAAGAAAATTTTTAAATAGGGTCCCCCTTTAACATATGTACATGAATAGGCCCCGGGTCCTGGGATTGAGGAGTATCAAGGAGAGTCCTGTTGGAAAGGATGTCCTGGGTCTTCAGATAGCTCAATAAGGACCCCAAGGATTCCTGTTCAATGGCAACCAGCAATACTAGGTATTTTATGTGAATGGGTCCAGGTAAAGGTCACAAACTGGTAAGAAGGTGTGAGGTGTCTGCATGCAGTTTCCTTTAGTGAAGAGTGTACACCATGTGGGCTTCTTCTCGATCATCAATCCTGATGATACCATGGCTCAGGTGTTCCAGGGCGTCCTGCAAACGATGTGGAAAGCTCGGCCTAGCGCCTTGTCACACTGGGATTCCGCTGTGTGATGATGCTCACGCCTTGGCTCAGTTATGTCTGCCGAAAGGAAACTGCAGACGGATGGTCTGGTGGCTGGTCAAAAGCTCACATGCCAAAGGCTCTCGTTCCCTCTGGACCACGTGGCCTGCTCAGCTCTCCACAGCATCCATATCCTTGCTTGCAGCTTCAGCCCATAGTCCCAAGAGGAAGAGCATTCTTCAGAGTCAGGCTTATATATCCATCCCCAACATTCACCTCTCCTCCTCCAGCTGGCTGGAACCTGTAGTTCCCAGCAGCATCGGTTCCTGGCAAATCTCTGCCATCTGGACTACATGTCCCACAATCCCCTGTTCTCAATGAGATCCCCCTCTCTTGGTGCCATTAAACACAATGCCACTATCACAACTGGACACTAGAGGGGGACATTAATTCAACACAGTCATTATTATAAAGGTCTGGCGGTGGCCCAGATAGGTTGACCAGCACTGGGCTACATTAACAAATTTAATCCCCAACACCAAGGGTCCAAAACACACTGACATATTCATTTTGGTGAACTGAACTTGTAAGCAATTTTTTGTCTTTGCCCAATCAAGCCCATTGACGCATTCGTGTTTCCTCTCTGGCAGCTTGAACTGTCTGAAGATCCGAAGAATATCATCCTGAACCCCCAGCCAGGGTCACCTGTGGTCCTGAAAGTAACAGGAGAACCCGGAGCCACTGTCGGCATGGTGGCTCTGGATAAGGGTGTTCTCGTTCTGAACAAGAAGAATCGAATGTCACAAAACAAGGTAGGAGCATCAGTATAGACTAGAGGTGATTGAATTCCAAAACTTAAAGTGATTTTAAAGGTTTTTTTCTTTAAAATAACAAACATGTTATACTTACCTGCTCTGTGCAAAGGTTTTGCACAGAGCAGTCCGTATCTTCCTCTTCTCGGGTCCCCCAGAACCTCCTTCATTCATCAATTCTATGCATGAAGGTAAAAAACATTCCGTATGCTGCTCCCCACCCAGCCCCCCCAATACTCACCTGAGCCCCATCTCTATCCATTGATGTGCACAGGAGCCTCAACTGTCCTGGGTCTCTTTCTCCTCACTGGATGAGACAGCAGCAGGAGGAATTGGTTCCCACTGCTGTTAACCACAGCCAGTGAGCCAATGGGGAGAGAGCGGTAGGCGGTGCTGAACCATGTCTGTATGAG